CCCCGCCGCACGCCCGGCGCGGCGGGCGGCGGTGCGGCCGCGGCTGCGCTGCCGGAGCAGCGGCTGGCGGGGCTGGCTGCGCTGGCGCGCGGCGCGGTGCCCGGGGCGACGCCTGAGGAGGCCGCGCGCCTGCTCGCGGCCCTGGCGGCCCTGGAGGCGCAGGCGGCGCGGCGCCTGGACCCCTCCTCGCGCCCCGCGTCGGCGGCGGCTGGCCCAGGCGCGGGCGCCACGGCAGCGCCCGCGGCGCCGGCGACGTTTGGTGACGTGGCGGCGGAGGTCATGGCTGCTGTGGCGGCCGGGTGGGACGCCCTGCCTGACGAGGCTCTGGCTGGCCTGCTGCCCAGTGTCGGTGAGCGAGTGTTGGTGTGTGTTCTTTGGCTGGGTACTCAGGTCGGCAGGCGAAGTGGGGATCGTATTGATGGGGAGATTAGCCGCAGTTGCAGGCAGGCATGCCCTCACCATGCACACGCATGCGCGCGCGCGTGCGCGCACGCACACGTGCACACACACACGCACACACACACACACGCACACACACACACACACACGCACACACACCCACACACACACGCACACACGCACACACGCACACACACGCACACACATGCACACGCACACGGACACACACACACCCCCATCAACCCCCCACCTGCCGCCGCAGCGCCGCCATCTCTCGCCGCAGGTCAGCCTCCCGGGCCTCCCCCAGCGCCCGCTCCCGCCGCGCACCAAACAGCTCCTCCCGCAGCTGGCGCACCTCCGCCATGGCGCTGCCGGGCGCGGCAAACGCGCGGCCCTGCGCATGATGTATGATCAGAGTGGGGCCGGAAACTCAGGGTGGCTGGCCTTTTTCCATGACAGCGTGCAACTTAGCTCAGGACACTGCAGCAGTCGGCAGCTCATTGCTCTTTGTGTGGACCCGCAGGGCACCCACCCACCAAATGGCGACTGCCCGGGTACCCTCCACCACGCCCCTGGTCCTGCCGCACCCCTCATCCCGCCCGCCTGCCGCCCTGCACGCACACGCACGGCCCTGCGACCCCAAATCCTGCACCCCTCTCAAACCACCACCCCTACGCCAGCCCGAGCACCCTTTCCAGCCCCCCCGCCCTTCTCCTTCTCGAACCCCCCCCCCCTCAATTTGTCACCTGCAGCTCCAAGTACTCCTTCTCCAGCTTGATGCGGTCAGACCTGGGTTACACAGATGAGATAGTTGCGGGAGGTCCTGCCAGGCAGTGCCTGGGTTTGACATGCATGCGACAAGAAGCAGCAGGCCGCTGCTGCGCCACCCCGCGCGCCATGAACATGGTGGAGCCGTGGTTCTGTTGCTTTGAGGAGCGGAGCATTTAACAGAGCTGCGCCAGGTCTCTTAATCAGGCCTCCCTGCCACATTTTCAACCTGCAAAAGGCACCCAAATCGCCAGATTGCAGTGCGCGTCGCCCCGCCCCCGCACCTCTCCGCGGCAAGCTGTGCGGCCAGCTCCCCCGCGCGCCCCGCCTCCAGTCGTGCGCGCGCCCCGGCCTCCTCGAGGGTGAAGCGCTTTGCCACCTCAGCAGCCAGCTGCTTGTGGGTGTCGTCCAGCTGCCGCTGCATCTGAGGTGGTTAGGGAGTTGGTGTGTTGATTGTTGGGTTTTGGATTTTTACTGCTGCGGTGGGCGATGCGTGTGGTGTGTGGTGTTGTGTGCGGTGAGAGGTGTGGTGGTTGTTGCCTTGACTGGTGGGCGATACAGGCAGCCCAATTTGGGTGGGTGCAGGGACCCAACAACGCGTGTGCAGAAGCCGACCTGAAGGCTGGCTCCGACAATCACCAAGGGCCGCGCACTGCTAGCTGGACGCACTCAGCACGCGCGTCAAATACACGAGGCTCTCGTGAGGCCAGAGCCTGGGGCGGCTCTTGTGGCGCCACGGCAAAGCGCAAGGATTGATCCGACCCCTTGCGCATCCCAGGCGCCGACCTTCTCAGCTGCCGCGCGTATGCCGTCGAGCTCCAGCTTGTGCTCCACATACCTGGCACAGGGGCGGGTTGCCGTGTAGGAGGTGTTGTGGCCGGCGGCAGCCCCTTTGTGCGGGGGCCAAGTGGTATGGCCCTCGAGGCGCAGGGTGCCACGGCCTGACCATCATCAGGACGCCACCCCAACCGGCGCCCGGGCCCCCACACCCCAATACGGCAGACCCAGGACCCTCGCGCCGCCCACCAAACACCATCAACGACTCGTGGCCGCCGCTCGCCTCCCATCTACGCACGCCCGATCCGCCCCCCCCCCCCCCCCCCC